ATACAACCCCCACACACACCTTTCCTTTTGTTTTCAGTCATTCTGTAGAAGTTATGCACAGTAGTATGTACAGGTTCCTCATGAGCACAATTTAATGTTCTGGAATTCTCACTGTTCACAATGTCACTCATAGTATATGATCCACACAGTCAAATGCCTTTGCACAGTTAGTAGAACCCAAGTAAGCATCTTTCTGGTTTTCTTTGTTTTCAGCAAGATGTATCTGAAATCAGCAATAACCCTCATTCCGCATCCTCTTCTGAATCTGGCTTGAATTACTGGCAGTTCCTTGGTGATGTACTGCCACAACCATAATTGAATTATCTTCTACAAATTTTACACACTTGTGATATCAATGATATGGTTCAGTAATTTCTGCATTCTGTTGGAACTCCTTTCTTTAGAATAGGTACAAATATGGATCTTGTCCAATAGGTGGGCCAAGTAGCTGTCTTCCAAATTTTCTGGCACAGATGAATGAAAACTTCTAGCATTGCATTCATGTGTTAAAACATTGCAATTTGAATTCCATGAACTCTTAGAGCCTCGTTTTTCACCAGTGTGTTCAGTGTAGCTCGGGTATTGTCCTTCAATACCACCGGTTTTTGATATGCTACCTTCTGAAATGGTTGAATGGCAATCAGTTCTTTTTGGCATATTCACGATATTCCTTCCATCTTCATTTGATATGTCCTATGATGCTCAGTGTTTACCCACTGTTTTTAAGTGCCACTGAGTTGGTTCCAACTCATAGTGACCCTATGCACAACAGAAAGAAACACTGTCTGGTCCTGTGCTATTCTCACAACTGTTACCTTGTTTGGGCCCATAATGCTGCCACTGTCTCAATCCATTTTGTTGGTGGTGATCCTCTTTTTCTCTGACCCTCCATTTTACCAAGCATGATGTCCTTTTACAGGGACTGATCCCTCCTGACACGATGTTAAAAAAAACAGCATCCTTCAATATTATAACTTGAGGCTTGAATTTTTTTCTTCAGTTATTTCAGCTTACTAAATGCCAAACATGTTTTTCCCTTTTGGTTTTCTAACTCCAGGTCTTTGTACTTTCATTAGAACACTACTTTTTCTACTAGAACCACCCTTTGAAATTTCCAGTTCAGCTCTTACTTTTCCATTCACTTTAAGTACTCTGCATTCAAAAACAAGTTTCAAAATTTCTTCTTATATCCATTTCAGTCTTTTATTTCCTATTTTGTTTTAATGACCTTAGCTTTCTTGATGTATGATGTCCTTGATGTCATCCCACAAATAGTCTAGTCTTCAGTCATTAGTGTTCAATACATCAAATTTATTCTGAAGATGATCTATAAATTTCAGGTCCAGTATACTCAAAGTCGTACTTTGACTATTGTGGACTTGGCTTAATTTTCTTCAACTTCAACTTGCATATGAGCACTTAATATTTTGTTACATAGTCAAGCTCTGGCCTGTTCTTTCTCTCCATCATCTCTACACAAATGTAACTGATTTGATTCCTCTGCATTCCATTCAGCGAAGTCCACATGTATAGCCACTGTTTATACTGTTGAATAAAGGTATTTGCAATAAAGTCATCAGTCTTGCAAAATTCTATCAAGTGATCTCTGCCATTTATTAACAAGGCCATATTTTCCAACTACTGATCCTTCTTTATTTTCAATTCTCACATTCAAATCACTGGTAATGATCAATTCATCCTGACTGCATGCTTGATCAATTGCAGAATGAAGAAGTTGCAAAAATCTTCAATTTCTTCATCTCTAGCATTAGTTTGGTGTATAAATTTGAACAGTCACATGTGTTGTTGTTGTTAAGTACCATGATGTTTGTTCCGACTCATAGTGACCCTGCACAGGGTTTCCGAGGCTGTAAATCTTTATGGGAGCACAACCCCTCATCTTTCTCCTGTGGAACTGCTGGTAGTTTCAAACTGCCGACTTTCAGGTTAGCAGCCCAATTTGTAACCACTACGCTACCAGAGCTCCTTAATAGTCATATGAAGTTGCATGAATATTATCCTATCACTGACAAGTGTTGTACTTCAGAGCAGATTTTGAAATGTTCTTTTGATGACAACTGTGATGCTGCTCCTCTTCGAATTACCATTTCTAATAAAGGAGATCACGTGATTGTCCTGTTCAAAACGGCTGAAATCAGTCATTTTGGCTCACTAATGCTAGGAGTCCTAGTGTGGCACTGTAAGATAGCACTGGATCACAAGGTCAGTTTGAACCGTACGGTTGGTGGTTCAATCTCACCAGTCGCTCTTCACTATACAGGGCCGCCATGAGTCGGAGCTGACTTGATAACACTTAACAACAATAACAATGCCTAGGATATCTATGTGTTCCAATTCATTTTTGACATCCTATTTTCCTAGATTCATATTTCATACATTACATGATCCAATTATGAACATTTAAAACTGTTTCTATTTTGAGCCATGTGTCATCAGCAAATTGAAGTTCCAAAAGCTTTATTTCATCCACATCATTAAGACTGACTCTACTAACAATAGATAGCTCTAGCCCAATTATAGTTTCTGGGCCTTCCAACTTCAGGAGCTCATCCTCCAGCACTCTATCACATAATGTTGTGCTGCTCTCCATAAGGTTTTCCTTAGAAATAGATCACTTAGTCCTTCTTCCTAGTCTGTCTCAGTCTGGAAGTTCTGGTGAAACCTGTGTACCATGGACAACCTTGCTAATGTTTAAAATACCAGTGGCATAGATTCCAGCATCACAGCAAGCCACCACAGTGTGACAAACTGACAGATGAGCAATGGTGACAGCCAAGTGGTGGCATCCACACATAGGGTTGGATGGTGGCAATTTTATCTCAAAATGTTGCTGTTGTTGTTAAGTGTCGTTGAGTCAGTTCTGACTCACAGCGACCATGTATAGGGTTTCCAAGGAGTGACTGGTGAGTCTGAACCACCAACATCGCAGTTCAAACTGACCTTGTGGCCCAGTGCTTTGTTCTACAGTGCCACACCAGGACTCTTAGAAAAAAAAATACCCTTTTATTTTTTAATTAATTCAAGATAAAACCAAAACAGGGAATCATATTACATATGATTCAAAGAGGTTTTGACACCTTTAGTTAAGGGTTACCTTTTGTAGTCTTGGACTACCTGAGATTGACTGCAGGCCCAACAGCTGGAGTCCTGGGGTGGTACTACAGGATCAGCACTGTACTGCTAACCACAAGTTCAGTGGTTCAAACCACCAACTGCTCCATGGAAACTCTATACAGGGTTGCTATGAGTCAGAACCCACTTGACAGCATTTAACAACAACAAGAAATTGTATTGCGTTCTCTTTCATCTACCTAACTACCTTAGTTCACTTTTTGACAAGAAAATTTTAACACACAGCCCCCACCCAACAACAACAACAAAAAGACATCAGTATATTTATTCATTCTAATTATGGGCTTGCCTTTTCTCTTTGGTTTTCAGTAATGGGTGTAGACAGTAACAGGAGTCCCTGGGCAGCGCCAAGTGCTCAGATACTAACTGAAAAGTTGGTAGCTCAAACCGACCCGGAAGTACATTGGAAAAAGGCCTGACAATCCACTTCCAAACTGTCATAGTCGATGAGATTATAGAGAGCACAGCTTTACTCTGAAACACATGGGATCACCACAAGTTGAAATCAACACATTAGCAACTTGTTTGGTTTGATTTGGGTTTATATATGGTAATAAAATCTTGGATTTGAGAAGGTTTACGGGGAAGGGTGTTAATAAGCATTAGCTTGCTTGCTTTCTTAATGTCAGCCAGGGTTGTTGTTGTTAAGTGCCATCGAGTCAATTCCAACCCATAACGACCCTGTATAGGGTTTCTGAGGAGCAACTGGTGATCTTGCAGTTCAAACGGCTTTGCAGTCTGGCACATTAACTCACAGCGCCACACCAGGGTCAGGCAGGGTAGAGTATGGAATAGGAAATAAACGTGTTTCAAAGTTTTTGGAAAATGGAATTAAAAGATAATGAAAAACTATCACAAACTTTCTGATGCCCCTATTAGTATCTATGCTGACTTTTTCTTTCACTTCCTTTGCCTTTCTAGAACAACAGAGACACAACTGAGGTCAATCAACTACACTAGTCTACTTCCATAAGGATTTACAGCTTTGGTCAGACCCTATGGAATATAGTTCTACTCTGTTCCCTAGGGTAGCTATGAGTCAGAATCTACTGGATGGCAGTGGATTTGTTTTTTTGGGGTTTCCAAGTCATACATGTTTACAGCAAGAGAAAAGGGATATTCAACAATTCTCATTAGAATGAAGAGGAAAACACTTTCGGTTTTACAAGTACTTTAAAGACCTCTCTCATTAAACTTAGCTGGTGTGGTGCTGTAGGATAAACACTGGATAGGTAGCGTGATTTGGGCTGCTAACCTCAAGGTCAGCAGTTTGAAATTTCCAGCTGTTCCATGGGAGAAAGATGAGGCTTTCTGCTCCCGTAAAGATTTACAGCCTCGGAAACCCTATGCAGGATTGCTCTGAATCAGAACTGACTCCACAGCACACAACCACCACTAATCAAAAGGTAGCCAGTTCAAATCCATTAACCACTCTATACAGGGTCGCTATGAGTTGGCACCACCTGTATGACACTTAACAACAGCAAACTACAAAAAGACCTCATTCACTCAATTTCTTACAAACGGGTAAAACTTTTTTTTAAATAAAGAATCCAGATTTCCTGATTTCAAAAGCAATAGTTAATCCCTGATAACATTAGATTACCTAGTAGAATGAGAGTCCATTCTTTGCTTCTGGTTTCTAAGGGATGAAGTAAAATTAAGTCAGTTGTCGTTATGAGCAGCAGTACATGATTTATCAACAATGTGTATGCAAGAATTCTTTATAATAGTTGACAAATAGATGTCATGTTATTTTCCCTTTAGCTAAAATGACCATAATTCCAAGGAAACCGTTTTTCTATCGAACCAAAACTGATATATGCTGTTAAGAAACCTACTCTTACCTGTTCTGTAGCTGTAGGGCAGTAGTAGACTAACAAAACTGTTGTACAGATATTTATTGACAATCCAATGATGGTGATGAGATTTGGGGCAATCCAGGAGGGAACTCTACCAACTAGCCATTCCCAATATCCTTGCATTAAGGGTTCAAGCAGGGAACGTCCAGCACTCTGGTATCTGTGCTCTTCTAGTCGCTTTAGTTGGTGTCTTGATAATGGTGGTGTAGGTAACTGAAACAATTTATTTAACACACATCCTGTAGTACTCATGTGTCCGAAGCCCACAGGGGACTCCGGGTGAGAATCTCCACATCGTTTCCTTGTTGACCGATGCCCACTCATGGATCTTGGTTTTCTTTTAGCTGGAGACAGTAATTTGTTTTAAGTTTATAGCTCTTTGTGGTTGGTCTTCACCTGTAAAAAAGAAAAGAAATGAAAAGAAAAAATATGTATATGCCTATATTCATTTATCAGTTACTGCCTGGTGTGATGCTGTAGGATTGGTAATGGGCTGCAAATCACAATGTCAGCAGTTCAAACCCACCAACTGCTCTTTGGAAACCCTATATGGGGTTGCTATGAGTAGGAACCAATTTGATGGCACTTAACAAGTGGTTACAAATCGGTCTGTGAACCTCAAAGTCAACAGTACAAAACTACCAGCTGTTCCACGGGAGAAAGATGAGGCTTTCTGCTCCCGTTAAGATTTACAGCCTCGGAAACCCTGTACAGGGTCACTATGGGTCGGAAACGACTCCACGGCACATAACCACCACCACCAACAACAACATTTATATCTGATATAAATATCAACACATTAAAAAAAAAAAAAGACATTAAACTGCAAACAGACTTATAAATGTCAATCATGGATCAAAACATCAGGTACCTATGTTTGTGTCTAGTTCTGTTAACGGTACGAGCCAAAAGTCATATAACCCCAGTTTTACGTAGTATTCTAAGTGTGCGTAAACAACAGTAAAATAAATTAACTTTCTGATGGCGGAATATATGGATTAGCAGAGTGTCCTGATCAACTGAGAGAAGTAACAGAGATGTTTTACACAAAAACAAAAGACTGTATGCAATGTCAGTGGCTGGCATAGCAAATTCTGCTTGCTATAGATAGCAATCGTGCAAATCAGTCCAGGGATACTAACTAAGATCACTCACCCACTTACCAAATTGTGTGGTGAATAACAAATTCTACTCCACATACCAACTGTGGCCTGTGGAGATCTCAACTTTCTTTCCCTGTTCAGTTGCGACTCCAGCAGCTCTTGTCCCTCTCATCCTCAGTTACCCAGGGCTAGGTCAGTTGGTACCAACTTTACACTTGGGAGTCCACATGACTCCCTCTACTTCAGACGGGTAAGCTACCCTACCCCTTTGGGTCAGATAATTGGCTGAAATAACTCACAGAGCTCAATGGGAAACACCACAGCAAATCTGCTACAATAGGTTTAATATAACAAAAAAGGGTACAAAAGAAGAAATGCATTAAGTGATGTAGATAGGAGGGTCCCCACAGGGAACACATTGTCCTCCCTCCCCTGTGCACTAGAAAGCCCTCTGGACTCAAGGCTCTCATTGATCTTACCACAGGACCATGAGAGATAACATCATGGTTATGATGCTTAGTCAGCAATGGGCCCCCAGATAGACCCTCTTAGCCTGGTCAGTCTCCATTCATTAGCTTCAGATGTTAGTACTGCTGGAAACAACCAAAGCCAGAAGTTCTTTCTGCAAGGTGATTCCCTACCTCACACTGGAGTTTGGGTAAGATAGGAAAATTGCAAGTCATCAATTTAGAAGTCAAAGATAAAGATTAAAAAGTAGAAGAGTTCTTGAAGGGATTAAACACAGAAAAGACTAAAAAAAATTGTGAGAAATCCATAGTGAGTAGCAGGAGGAAGAAGAGAAGCCCTAAGGATTTAAAAAAAAAGAAGGAAGAGATAAATCTTAGTAGAACTTAAAAGGGTAATGGCACTGAACCAAGAGAGGTGTACTTTAATCTTTTGGTCATAGACTATTCCAAAAACAATATAAAATTCCCAGAAATGCTGCAATATGGGACTATAGAATACAATAGAGTCTAGAGCACCTCAACAATGAACCTAGAATCACCATGCCTAGGACTTACAATACTTCTCCCCTCTGCCCTCATAAATACCAAACCCCAAAACTTCAGTATACCACTAACAGTGCTATGGCACTGTAGGATTAACACTGGACTTCCAACCACAAGATTGGCAGTTCAAACCCAGCTGCTTCTTGGAATCCCTCCACAGGGTCTCTCTGAGTAGGAACCGACTTGATGTGCTTAAAAACAATAGTTTAAAGTGGTATCCAGATCCTCTGTCAAAGCATGTATTGCGCTACTTGGTTCAGAAAGTAGCTGTTGTTGTCAAGTTAACTTGCTTATCCAAATCCCAAGTGACAACAAAAAATCAGTATCACAATTTAACCAATGAAAGTGCTCTAAAATAAAAAATATCAAAATAACTTTCAAACAAAGAGGGCAAATCAACATTAATTTCTTACTGTTTGAAGGAATTTCCTTCACACACCCAATAATAGCAAAAAGCTACTGATTAATTTGTTTATTTAATATTTGTTGCTCTTAAGTGCTGTCGAGTCAGTCCCGACTCATAGTGACACCGTACAGGGTTTCCAAAGAGTGGCTGGTGAGTTTGAACTGCTAACATTGCTTTGTTGTTGTTGTTAAGTGCCACTGAGTCAGTTCCAACCCACAGCAACCCTGTACAGGGTTTCCAAGGAGCAGCCGGTGAGCTTGAACTACCAACTTTGCAATTCAAACCAACTTTGCAGTCCAGCGCATTAACCCACAGCACCACATCGGGACTCTAGCCACTGTCAAATCAATCCCAACTTGTGAAGACTCCAGAAACAGAACAAAATGTTGTCCAGTCCTGTGCCATCCTGATGATCAGTTACAGGTTGGTTTGTTGTGATCCAGAGGGTTTTCACTGGCTGATTACTGGAAGGATATTGTCAGACCTTTCTTTCTAGTCTATTTTGGTCTGTAGGAGCCACTGAAACCTATTTCAACATGCAGGTGTCTACTGGCTGGAAACTGACCCCAGGTCTCCACACAGAAGATAAGAAGTCTACCACAGAACGATCACTGTCCTCTAAGTCTGATTACATAACTGCAACCTTCTCACTGTAGATCAAATGGCAGACCAATAATCACCAAAACACTTGGTTTTAGAGTAGCCAACTCTTTTGTAGTCAAACTGGATAACATATTTTTATATTTGGAGAGCTATGATCAGCTTTTATGGGATTCCACTGGAAGTGAGAACAAAAGATTTCTAGACAACTCAATTTACATTTACTAAATGGAGTCCTGGTGTGTCGCTGTGGGCTATGGCATCAGACGCAAAGTCATTTGAACTTTAAGGCTGGTGGTTCAAGCTCACCAGCTGCTCATTGGAAACCCTATACAGGCTCACTATGGATCGGAATTGACTGGACGGCACTTAACAACAACAACAACAATCATGTTTCCATTCTTGCAGTGTGAAAAAAAAAGGGGAGGGTGAGATGATCTATTGAGGGTGCTGGCCTCTTGTTGGCACTCAACAGCTACAAGGAACTGAGCCTAAAACTAATGGTTTAAAGTTTGAGCATTTGGCAGAACTATTTGATAAACTGATACTTTCCGAGGTTTTTTTTTTCCCCCTCTGACCTAGTTGTTTTTTTAATTTTTAAACCTTCTATTTCTCTTTTGGAGCCTTGGTAATGTAGTGGATTATGAGTTGGGCTGCTAACCGCAAGGTCAGTAGTTCGAATCTACCAGCTATTCCATAGGAGAAAGATGAAGCTTTCTGCTCCCATAAAAATTTACAGCCTCAGAAACCCTATGCAGAGTTGCTATGAGTCCGAACTGACTCCATGGCACATAATCACCACCACTTCTCTTCTAGAAAAATGTACATTTTGACAAACCTTTCTAGGTCTAACCATTTATGCACAGAAAATGGCCAATGAGGTTTTTGAAAGTTTTCTTTGCCAGCATTTCAACTTGGCAACTTTGTCTCTGTGCAACTATTAGCTACAAATTTGCAAATATATATATCCGAATACAGTGCCTGACAGATGAATACTTTGCTTTCAACACATGCTGGTAGAAACAGAGGTTGCTGTCAATTACCATAGGTCTACTTCCTATCTTTCTTCTTCCCCATCACACCTGAGACTATTGCTATGAAAACCATTTCAGGAAGAAGAAAAGGACCTTCTGAAATTCAGCAAGTGAAAAGTGAGCATATCTCAAGGGAGAAGGAAAGTTAGGAAGCTGCAACAGAGGATGGGAACATGGAGTAAAGGGAAAAGAGAATGTGGGGCGTGAAAATGGAAAGGAGGTACAAATCTTACAAAGATTAGTTTATCTGGAGTCAGACCTACTCTCCAAAGAAAGAGGAGAAAACATCCTTTTCTTACAATGCTACACACACACACACACACATATATATATATGTAAAAACTTTAAAAAATCATTTAAGAAATGAAATATTATTGCTGACTAGCTTGGGAATCTAGCCACTAGTGATTGACAGATTTTATGGGGAAAAGGGCTCCAAGTTACAAAAGCATTCAATTAGTATCTGAGTACAGTGAACAAGAACATGGTTCTAAATCTCCTGTCCAATAGGAAAACAACTAAGCACAGGTAAACAAGCAAACGACATTACATGCTGTATGGATGTTATGAAGAAAACAAAGTGCTAAATCAGGAAATATATTTTAAATAGGGTGGTTAAAGTCTCTGACGAGATGGTGTTTATGCAAAAAAGCAGAGGACAAGAAAGAGACATTCTAAGAGTATGGCAAACAGTCCTAGAGGCAAGAGAGAGCTTGATTTCTGTTCAGGTACCTAACAGAACATTATGGCCAGGCAGTAGTAGTAAACAGATAGTAAAGTGGGGTAAATGGCAAGTTGAGATTTTATTCCGATGTAATGGGAAACCACCAGAGCTCATGTTGTTGTTAAGTGCTGTTGAGTTGGTTCTATATAGGGTTTCCTGGTGGGTTGGACTTTGAAATTAGCAGTCCAATGCTTATCCTCCAGCACTACACCAGGACTCCTAAGAGCCTATAAAGAAACCTATAATATTGTAACACAACCTATTGGCTAATTAAGGAGATGGTTTCATAAATCATAATAGTAAATTTTTTAAACTGTGAAAACCTCCCATCTATAATTCAGTTTGGACTTCTGGTGTGGCGCTGTAGGATCAGCACTGGACTGCAAACCACGAGGTTAGCAGTTCAAACCCACCAGTGGCTCCTCAGATACCCTATACAGGGTCGCATGAGTCGGAAATGACTCGACAGCACTTAACAACAACATTCATTTTACAATAATATTAATCACAGTC